CTACCCACTTTTACTTTTCAAAATCACTTTTTTCTCAAACAATATCAACTTTTATTTAATCACTTCTCCTCATTTCATAAAAAAAGCACTTTTTTAAAAGCAGAAGCTGTTGCAAACAGACCCTTAATCGGCCGCCGCCATTTGCAAAGGCCATTTGGTTTCAGGATTTTCGGTCTATAGATAGGGCGGTAAGATGCCCCACTTGAGATCATTTTGATTTGAGAATAATGAAAGGCACCCGTAGTCTTTATTGTTTTAAAAGGTGGAATCCCCCATCCCACGAATCCCACATTCTGAACTGAGAGAATGATGAAAGAGTAAGTACGGTGATTCAGTCGGTCCAAATATGATAAACCTTATACCCGTGTGCACAAGAGGTGTAGCCGGCGGTAATCTCCACACAGCCGCTGCTGGTTTCAATCTTTGATCATTGTTCCAAATTTCCCACCACTGAACTAACTGAGCTACCCGTGTGTGTGAGATACCAATAAAATTCAAAAACCAGGTATCTTAGTATATTCCCTTTGGTCCCAAAGCAATTTCATACGCGTATTTTATTTTTGGGTAAGTTCAAAATAAACTTCACACTTCTATTTTTGGCAACTTTTTAATAGAAGTTACTTTGATATCCTTACTTTATTACCTATTTTACAGATACATTCTCTCTTACTACACTTTATCTACATTTGGGGGGGGGGCATAACGAGAAAGTAAAAACAAAAAGTTCCGCTTTCTTAAAAATCGTGAAGTCAAACAATGAAGTTCTTTTGAGACCGTATGAAGTATTAATTATTAGAACATTTTTTTTTACTCCAGGGACGTTTGGGGAGGGGTCTAGGGGGCCTGGAGTAAACTGGGCTGAAACTCACTCCATTGAGTTTTGAACCATAAAAATTCATGGGAAGATTTTTTCCAAAACATTTGGATCACATATGTTTGTGACACCTCTTACCTTGGATGCAATTATCTTTATATCAAATTATGTAAAAATGACTAAAAGAATACGGAGTACATATTGGGCCCGTTTGGATGCTGGCGGTTTTCCCCGATCCGCCGAAAATTTACAAATGGAAACGCTGCATTAAACAAATGCATTAAACAAATTTACAAATTGCAACGGTTTGGAATCCACCTGCCATTAAACAAACATGGCCATTATTCTCTTTTACCTTGGAGTATTAAAATCTTGAAGATAAATTTTATAATCACATAAATTTCAACGGCTCGAGAAGTAATACTAGGATTACAAATGTTGGAAAAATAGAATTTTTTCAAATGAAAAGTACTTTATAAATTTATAAATCAAATGTTTTCGTATATTCTATTTTTTGAAAGGAAAAAGCCAATCAATTTATTAATTTAACTCATCATTCGCCAAAAGGCTTACAATAAATTCAGACTTTGAATTAAAATGATTATCACAATCTGCACATGAAACAACCGCTCTGATCTAGCTTAGTGCGTGAGCAACCCGATTCGCAGAGCGACCACAAACACTAATCGACAAGTGCTCATTCACTCGTAATAATTCTCTCACATCATCAAGAACTAAGTCGACGTACGACAAGCCCGGCTCACCTTGAATCCCGGAAACAACCATAGTTGCGTCTGTCTCCACAATCACCTTCTCCCAGCCATTCTTTTTAGCCCAAAGAACTGCCTTCTGAACTCCACGAGCTTCGGTTTCAAAAGGAATCCAACGAGCTTTGACTGACATACTTCTGGCCTTCACATTCGTTTTACCATTAAGCATTATTTACTCTATCCTTAATAAATGTTTTTAATAAATGCTCAAATGGTTATGCTCATACAAAGTTATTGCATGCTTTAGGTAAATGTTTAATTTTTACACATTAAGTTTTAAATAAATGTGTTTGAACGTGGGAGCTAGATGAGTTGTTGCTTCTAAGAATTATAGACTAATGTTTATCCCGCCGAATTCCTCCAACAACGCAACAGAAACAGGCGACCACCACTTGAGAATGAAGCTGACTCGCTAACTATATCAAACCAATTATAATACGAGTAGAAAACACTAATACAAAAGCAAAATAATCTAGATCTAGCAAAAAAATGTGACAAAAAAAAGAGAATCAGACAATCAACAAAATTGAAATCAAGATCTTAGAAGAAGACTCACCCCTTCGTTGATTCCTTACTCCCTCGCTCCTTATGAGAAAACCAATCCTTCCTCTTCCTTAGATAGAAAACTCGTAGTGTTCTTTGTGACTAGCTACTAGGAAAGGCTTTCTAAAATCGTCGTGTAATCGGTCATCGAAAAGGAGACACATTCGAATACTATTTTTTTCTTAAAAGTTAATTGGTGGTGGTTCGAGACTTGCAACCGTCATCAACTTATGTCAAAATTTCAGAAAAGCTATTTGAACCAGGCAATGAAGAGAAGAAGAGGTTGAGCGGGTTTACAAATTGTTCTCTAGAAACTAAAAAATATTTTCTTGGGTTGTATACGTACAAACAATAAACTAAAAGTAATCTGAACCTCAGAATTGAGGTACATATTGATTGCAAAACAATATGATTATAGTGAAAATAATAGTCCGTATGCATGAAACTAATATTGTCAGTATATTTTTCAATAAGAAATTTAGTTAATGTGCTTACATGAACAGTCCATTTTTATTTGTAGACAAAATTAATACTATATATCAAGTATCAACGGTTGGTGATAGCTACACAAAAAAATGTCTTACGGAGTACTGTATATTTTTGTGGAAAGAATAATTTATCTTTAATAGTCATTCAATAAATTTTCCATCAAAAAAAAGTCATTCAATAAATTAGTCCAAGCATATGTATGGTGTTGGTTATTACGGAGCTTGATATTGATATGTGGTATCTGCCTCGCCTCGAAAATACTCCGTATACAATACAAACATGAAACATACGGAGTATATGGCAGTTGTATATGATAGAGAGATTATTTGTAAGGAAAATTAGTCTAACTAGAGTAAAAAGAAATAACACACCATATATATGGCAGTTCGTCTAATTTTTTACAAGAAACAACACACATTTCTTTTAAAAAAAGATTAGATTTTCACCCGTGCAATGCACGGAACAAAAATTACTGCATAGGTAATAACTACAGAGCAATACTCCCTAATTTATTGACATTATTAGTAATTCATAAATGTATTAAAAGAGTATAAATGAAATATATAATAAATTTCGGAGCGTAATCGAATTTTATTGTATTATGCAATATTCAAAGAATATCATTTAAAACAAAACAAAAAAAAACAAAAAAAAACACTCCAACCAATAATATATCTACTACAATTAGTAAAGTAATTTGGGCACCATCACCCCTACAAATCACCATCCAGGTTGCATAGTGTGGATTTTCTTCACGACTCGGGATCTCACTTCAATCGTTAATTGTAAACAAAACTCTGAAAAATCAATACTTCTCAATGTCCTTACTTTCTTTTAATGATTTCTTTTGATGTGTAGTCAATATATCTGTGAAAGGGAGAAACAAAATTTAAATGCTGAATTTGATTAGTTCCAAGTAGAACTATATTGATGAATCTGGACTTCTTGGGGCTAAGCCTGCGGCATTTCCAATGGAACCGAATCATAATTTGGCTTCGTCAACGAGTGAATTATTATCAGATCCCGAAACTTATCGCCGTCTTGTGGGACGACTTATCTTTCACTCGTCCTGACTTAGCATACTTAGTTCACGTCCTCTCTCAGTTTATGCAGGCCCCGCGAATGGAGCATTGGCACACGGCTCTTTGAGTGGTCCGGTATCTTAAAGGCTGCCTGGGACAAGGAATTCTTTTAAGTTCCCAATGTGACCTGTCTCTTACTGCTTGGTGTGATTCCGATTGGGCCAGTTGCCCCCTTACTCGACGTTCTTTAACAGGGTGGCTGGTTTTCTTTGGCGGATCACCTGTCTCATGGAAGACCAAGAAGCAACATACTGTATCCCGTTCTTCCGCTGAGGCGGAATATCGTTCCATGGCGGCAGTCACTCCAGAGCTAAAATGGCTCAAGGGACTACTCCATACGCTTGGTGTCTGTCACGATCATCCTATCACCGTATTTTGTGATAGCCGTTCAGCGCTTCATATTGCTCAAAACCCAGTTTTTCATGAACGTACGAAACACATTGAGGTAGACTGTCATTACGTTCGTGATGCTATTCAGGAAGGACTCATTTCTACTCGGCATATTGCTACCACTGAACAACTTGCTGACATTTTCACTAAGGCTCTTGGCAAACAACAGTTCTCCTATCTTCTTGGCAAGTTGAACATTTTGGATTCGCATGCTCCAACTTGAGGGGGTGTTAACACACGTGTATTTGGTAATTAGGCCCAAGTGTAATTGTATTTGGGCAAGTGTAATTATTTAGACAACCTTGTTTAGAATAGGGCACGTTTGATGCTTGTATTCTGTATAGGGAGAAAGACCAAAAATGATACTAAAGTTTTTAATGGATCTCAGATTAGACGGGTTTTTAGTAGACTAAATACACACTAAATCTAACTTACGGAGTATATGTTGATTATTGGCCACGCTTCAGTTAAATGACGTCTCCTTGTTCCATTAAAAAAATAATAACACACAACCCCAATTTTTAACCCTAGGTCATTCTTTCGCTTACTTGAGAAAGAAAGAAAAAGAATTACTCTCAATTTCACCAAAAGAAAGTTTGTTACCCTTGTTCAAGATTTGGGTGAAGATTTTAAGTTGGAACTTTCAAGATTTTAGCTAAGCTGGATGTGTCTCTATTGGGTCTGGGAGAGCTTTCCGTCTTCTGAATTGCTTAGGGAGTGTTTGCAACTGCTTAAGAAAGCACTTATCAACTTTTGAATTTAAAAAGTACTTATTTATCAAACAATACCAATTTTTACTTTTTCTCGGCTTGCGTGTGAAAAGTGTTTTTCCCTTTTGTATTACAAAAAAAACATTTATTTTATTAAACACTACCAACTTTTACTTTTCAAAATCACATTTTTTTGTCAAATCGGCTAAGGTAAACACCACCTTTTGGATCTACTGTTGAAGGCTGAAGCCTTCCCTTGCCGGATCTGCTACTGGCATTCGCTCGTCCTCGTTCAGATGCAGAAAAAGGGATCTGAGCATAGTCACCATCTCAAGTTGGTCGCGGCACATCTCTGCCGATGTTGCTCACAACGGACAAATTAACGTGAGGGGATTTACACGGATTTAAAAAAAAAAAGATCTGGACCGAAGTTTCAATGGCCACAAATTGCAATCTCCAGGTTTCCCACCGAAAACCCAAACTCGAATTTGTAAGCATTGATATTAGCCTGTCAATAATTGCTTGGGCTGTCTTGGTAAATAGTTGTTATAATGTTTTTTTCATTATTCTGGCAGATTCATATCAAGTAATGATGCTTACGTTAGTGTTGCAAATTGAGATGTGTGTTTAACGAAGGAGAAGACATCACTTTGACGGAGTGTTAGTGGGTGGCCAATAATCAACATATAAGTCAGAATTAGTGTTTATTTGGTATACGATTGTACTAGCTGCCTTTGAGGCAAGAATAATAAAAATCATTACTCTCCATATCAGTCTAAAATCGAACATGTAGAGAGGAAAAAAGGCATATGAATCACAGATGTAGAACATTAATTGAGAATTGTTAGGGGTACGTTTTCTGCCCGTTTTAGCCTGAATTTGGGTATGGAACATTTTTCTGAAACCCCTTTCTCTTTCTGGGTGTTACTAAAACCTATAGCTGCTCTTCCTCTCTTCTTCTCATCCTCCTGTGTGTCTCTTCTTCCCTTTTACTGTAGTCTGTTACTTTCCTCAATAGTAGTACAGGTCCTCTTTGTCTGCCATGGCTCAAACAAATAGTGAGTAATATTATGTGGAAGCATTGGCAAAGCATTGAATCCAACTTTCCACAAGTCAAGTCCAAATATTACTATCACACTTGTTGGAGTGGCACTGCAAGATTGAAGCATTGCCTTACTTGAGCAAAGGAAAATGTTATTGTTCTTACTTTAATTTTTTCTTATGCCACTTGCTCTTAGTTTTTCTAAGACACTACATATAATATACGTTTATTGGTCATGCATTGTCTTAAGTGAAATCACTTTCATGAAAATGAGAATCGCTGGAGAATATCTTGGTTTGTGTTTCTAATTGCAGGGAGCGTTAGAGCATTTGGCGTCAATTTATCCAATTGAACTATGTGATGAAGCAAAAATTGAGCGTTGCAGAGCGACTAGAGATCTGAGAAGCTGTGGGCGTAATGTACGAAGTGTTCTAAGATCATGTAAGCATGCATCTTTATGCGAGGAGTGCAGCCAAAGATGTGATGTTTGTCCAATTTGTAGAGTTTCTTTGCCAAAAGATTCAAACAGACTTCAGCTGCGTCTCTATTATGAGTGCATAGAGGCTGGCCTTATCTCAAGTAAGTGTGATGACAGACTACAGGAGAAGGAAGACAGTGAGAAACAGCTAACAGCTGATATCCAACGGCTTTATTCCTTGTTTGATGTGGCACTGCAGAACAATTTGGTCTGTTTAATAAGTCATTGTATCCTCTGCCTCTATTTTAGATACGATGCACATTTTCAGTGTATTTCTAAGATATCGATATTGACTTGGGTGATTTTTATGCTCTTCCCAGAGTTTTTACAAACACATTCAGAGTATATTATTGTCGTGATGCTAACACTCAATATACCATCACGAGTAATTATGGATAAAAGTAAGATCTAAGATGATAGAAACATACTGTTGCTACATGTTTGAAGCCTTGCTAAGGATAAATAGTGACTTCAATGCTGTTCTTTGCAGTAATTTTTTACTATTTTGATGTAACTATATCCTTAACAGATTGCTAACAGATGTCACAGATGTCTGTATGGATGAGAGTGCAGTATCTAGCGATCCTGTCATTGCCTTTTTACTTGATGAAGTGGTTGTGAAAGATTGGTGCAAGAGGACATTCAGAAATATTCTGAATGAGACTCAAGTGATATGTATCCTCTGGAATTGACATTATACAATCATATGCCATTACTTCAATTTTATTTGTAAATGAATGAGCAGCTCAATATTCCTTGATTTTCCAAATAGATAATGACTCATTGCAAGGAATGGAAGAAAACTTGAGCTCACTTCTAAATCTGTCTGTTGAATTAACTGGCTTGTCCAATGTTATTGAGGTTCTGGAAGCATCATTTAAACATTCTCTTTCAGCAAAGCTACATGATCTACATCATCTTCAAGAGCACATATTGAAAACCAAGCAGGTTAAATCTTCTATCCTGGTTTCTTACAAAACCTCATGTCTTACATTTGTGTATGGAAGGATACTAAAGTAGTTCCTTAATAGTTAATACATTATATTCCATGATTACTATTCAGGTAACGTTGAAAAAAGTTTGAATGCTGTTAATTATTTGTATGGGGTATCATTAGACTAGAGGTTGCAATTTTGGGGTAACGTTGCAATTTTGGACGCGATTTTCACTATGGGTCATCCGAAAACAGTCTCTCTGTGCTTAAGTACATGGGTAAGACTGCGTACATCCGACCCCCCCTTACCCCACCGTAGGTGGGAGCCTTTGCGGCACTGGGGTAAGTGAAAATGAATGATGATGATGAAAATGATCATTAGACTAGAGGTTTGCTTGGTTTTCAGCTGGAAAGTAATTATAATATAAGCACATAGGTTGAATCATTTCCATTGCTTTTAGTGGTAATACTTGCATTGCGTGCTTGTGAGTGTTACGTTCGACTATTTGATGATTGCATGGTTCATGATTCTGACAAATCTTCATAAAAAATCTTTGTTATTGAGTAGTGTTATCTTTTAATAGCCTTTAACTTGGATTTTTGGAAAATGTAGCACATGGAAATGATGGTTTGGTGTATACGACATAAGTTTCTTGAGAATGTGACTTCTCGCTTCAATGGTAATTTTGCATCATGGGTGAGCCTTGTTCGTGAAAGAAAGTCTGCTGCAATCAGACGTGCCTGGCCAGATTCTGCAAATCAGTCCGAAGAGTTAAGTGTGAGCTCAACACTCTTTATCGAAGATGCACTTACAAATCTTGAATTGGAGCTATGTGCTGATGATTACCAGGAAGAATATGATATAGCATGTCTACAAAAAGATGGAAGATCTTCATTCTTACGATCGAAAATAGGGGGAATGGCTAGCAGTTACCCATTTCAGAGTTTGCGTGGTGCTACTGATATTCTCTTTTTACATGGAAGTTCAGATTTAGTGGTTGCAAAACAAGCAATTGTATCCTCTTCTAGTAGTACATGTGTGATGTGTGTATTATCTACTCACACATGCATGTGTGTGTGTGTGTGTGGGTATAGTATTTGGCAGAATTGATCATTCCAATATTCCTAATGAACCTTAACTATTCCATAGTTTTTGTATTACATTTTTGACCGACAGTGGACTGTACCTGACGAAAGATGGAGGGACATTGTTGACGACTTTGCTGCGACGTTTTGTGTTTCAAGGCACTCCATATTGGAATCCTGTGTCTATTTTCTGTTGGATGACCACACTGATGAAGGTTTGCAGGTGATTTTTGTCTTCCAGGAAATGAAGTTGTGAACCCAATTTTTCCAGGGTTATCACTGTTAGAACCTTATATATTACACCCCTCTTTTTATATATATCAATATGTATGATATTAAAATATTAATGCACTCACACAGTAACATAAACTTTTCCCTCTCATTATGAAAGGCTAAAACTTAGAATGTAATGCTCTCCAGGAATCGCTCTTCAAAAAAAGTGCTTAGTTAGGAATTTCCTGCCAAACAGAGCAACCAACAACCAAACTCTTGAGTCATGTTTCTTCCTCAAAAATAATAATATTGCCTCTCAAGTATCTTTTTTGTGGTTACAATCCAAAGGGCAAATCACATGTTATATAAAAAAGAAGTCCATTTAATTTGCATCCTTATGTTCTTTCTATGTTGAATGGAGCTTTTAATTCCATTTCTTAATATATGAATTTTATTTTCTTGTACTAAATTAAATATAAAAACTGAACTGTAAATGATAATTGTCAACCCTAATTAACCGACTGAGGCACGTAGTGTGGGGGAAGGAGTAGAATACCACAATGTAGTGATGTACACATTTTATGGTTCAATGAAAGTCTTGGGTTAATCTGAGGTGAATTAGTTAGACATTGTATCATTTCCTTTGTTGATCATTTACTCGTATTTCTAGGAAGCTTGCCGCCTTCTCCCTGAAATCTCGAGTCCCGTTGTTCATCCTAAAGTGGCACAGGTTCTTTTAGAGAGGCAAAATCCTGATGCAGCTCTTATGGTTCTGAGATGTTCTGGACGAGATGGGGGACAGCTGGTTTCTCTTGGGGAGGCTGTCACTGCAGTTCGAGTAAGAGTGGAGTGTGGACTTCTATCTGAAGCTTTCATGTTCCAGAGAATGATTTGTGCCAAGGTGAATGAAAATAAGTTACGAGGTGAAACATTTCATGATGCTTCACTTGAACAAAAGGGTGAAGCCTGTTTTCCGGATCTGTGGGTGGAGACTTTGGTCTCTGAAATTTGTTGTCTTTGTGTAAGGAGAAATTTAGTAGATCGCATCATAGAACTTCCATGGAACTCTGACGAGGAGATGTATCTTCATAAGTGCCTGTTGGATTTTGCCACAGAAGACCCTTCCACGATTACAGGAAGTCTACTTGTCGTTTTCTATTTACAGGTACAAAATCTTATATGTAAACAATATCATTGTTTTTTTCTACCATCTGCTTAAATACTGCCAGCTCAAAGTCATACACACTTTTCTATGCCTGTGCTAATTTCTTTTATTTATTAGTATTCAGGCAGTGAGAACTTTAATCATAAGATTATTTGGCATAAACAATGACTTTCATATGGGTTTTTTGTCTTTGTTCAGCGACATAGGTACATAGAGGCATATGAAATTGATCGCAAGCTTCAAACCATGGAGGACAACTTCATTTCTCAAAATTCTCCCAGTGAAGCTGTGTTAACTAGGATAAGATCAATAAACCATTGGAGAACGGGTTTGGCTGTAAGTCTGTATATTTTTATTGCCTATCTTTCTATTCAATTAAAATGAAAAGATTGCAAATTTGGATTTTCACTTGTGCTATGGTGAAACTATTAATTGGATGAAAGTGAATAAATTTTTATTCAATTTATGGAAGTTTGCCCAGGTGTTGCCGTGTTGGTCAATTGAACTCTTATGTTTTTTCACTTTATAGATTGATTGAGAGCATCATAATTTTCCATCTGGTCTCATTTGTAAACAGTTTTTTGGTTTATATATCTAAAACAAGACGCGATTCAGTTTTATTCTGTTTTTTCTCCATTTTGTATTCAATGGCACCCGTAATGTTTATATTCTGGGGTTCTGGGCGTATTATTTGTAACTGAGTAGGAACTTGTAAGTTTGTCCTTAAGGAATCTTCCTAATGGTAGATCAAGCTTTTTCCTGCTTTGTTGAAGACCAAGTTTTATACGGAGTACACATTTTCCTACATTTGCCATTTTCAGACCTTACTAAGTCATTTTTAATTTCTTTTCAGTTTTCCATTTATTGTTATTTTGCGCTGTTTAAGTTTCTTGAAAATGTAGGCATTTCATGTGGTTTATTTAAACAGTGAAGTCAAGTCCAAACTAATGCAGTAGAGGTTACATGCTTTATACTATTGCAGCAAAAAGGGGTGGAGTTGCTTCCTGATATCATTCAGCATCAAGTAAAGGCGGGAAAGTTGGCTGAAGCAGTAAGTCCAAATAAGGATAAGGCAAAGGACCGTTCAGCAAAACCTGATCTGCAAGTTTCTCAAGGACCTATTTTCTCCAGTTTATTGACACACCCGCCTGCTGACGGGGCAGACAATGCAATTATTTCCTCCCCACACCCTCCTGCTGGCCAAGCGAAAAATGGAATAATTTCCTCCCTTAATGCTTCGTCTCTCGAGACTTCAGCAAAATATGGACTTTCTGATCTTTCTATCTTTAAAGTTGGGAACCATATCTCTCCTAAGCCACACACTCATTCATTCATTAGTTCTCCAACAACAGAACGAAGTTCATTAAGGGTACCTCGCAGTAGCCGCCTTCGGAATTACCAAACCAATCAAGTTTCTTCAGAGAGGGTTGAGAAGGTATCCCTCAATGGATCTGTAATTTCTAAGAAGCACCGCTCACTCACAGAAGCCATGGATTTTTCCTGGAGGTAAATATCTTCGTTCGTATCTATTCTTCATCGAGATTGTCCAGTAGTTAAGAGAGAGAGAGACTTTACACGGTTATACCAGATTTGGCCCCTCGATTATACACTCTTACTCAACTTGGTCGTCAACTTTTTTTAGGCTCGTTTTAGCCCTGCCTACTTTGCTCTAATTAGGAAAAGCAATTTTCATGTGCAAAGGAGGGCCATTTTTTTGTCTAAATTTACCGTAAAAAAATAGGTTCTTATTTAAAAACAAATATGTATAGGGACAAAATTGGGACCAAGTGGCCGTAGTTTAAGAGCTAAATTATCATCACCCCAGTGCCGCAAAGGCTCTCACCAACGGTGGGGTAAGGGGGATCGGATGTACGCAGTCTTACCCCCTGTACTAAAGCACAGAGAGACTTTTTTCGGATGACCCATAGTGAAAATCGCGTCGAAAATTGCATGGACTGACTGTTGCTTCATAGCAAAGAAGCGTAGACAGTTTAGTGAGCCATTTTGCTTTATTCCATCATATTCCCAAACCAAAAAATTAGCGAGTCTTAGGCTCCATTGCAAATAATGGAGAAAGTTTAAGACCTAAATGAGTCCAATAAAAAGTTCGAGGACCAAAAGAGTATTACATATAATTGAGACCAAACTGGGTATTAACTAATAAAAGAGGGAAAATTGTATTGGTAATCATTGGTACTTGTGAGCAGCCATGAAGAGGACACAAATGCAAGTGTGAGATCGAGGTGGAGATCTGATGACAGTGAGGAAGAAGATTATTCAACACCAGACAGGCTCATTGGATTCACATCTCACACTATGAACCCTAGCAGTGTTAGAAGAGGCAGATTTTCTCTGAAATGAAGTCTCTGCGTTTCATTCCTTTAATTTCGTAAAGTATAAAGAATTATAGGTACCTCATGTTAAAACCAACGTGTAGAATTTATAATTTTCTGCTTTACCTTTTGTATTGAGTTCGCCTCCAATGAATATTTATTGGTGCTTTTTGTTATTCTAGTCCCATGCTAATTTAACTTTTATGTAACAAATTCTTGAGATGCATTTCGAAACCCCAGGGAGACACACACACACACATATCAGTGTTGTCAATCGCGGCGCAATAGCGCGCTACAGCGGTGGTGCCCAGCGGCAGACTGTGTTGGCGCTACAAGAAGACATCTAGCGGAGCGTTTGGGTGAAGCGGCTATGGCGGCCGCAATAGCGCCGCTACAATGTCCTGAAACGTTTCTGTGTTTAATTTTCTTAGGGCTGATTAAAAAACGTTTTTTTTGGAAGGGTAAATTAGTCTTTTAATATAAAATATTAACCCCAGTAGACCCTCCTACACGTGCGCAGACTAGAACCTTACAAATGGCCCCATATTTTGAATACTATGTGATGTCTGCTCTTTCTTTTTGCTCTGTGCGATGACTTCTCTTTCAACGACAAGTCGACAACCTTTTCATCTGCGATGACTGCTCGCTAGTTTCCACTTTGCCTCTTTCTAGAATCGCTGCTTCATCTTTTACACGGCATCTGTTGCACTCTTCCTTCATTCTTCTACTTGTGCTGCGAGCCTGCAACATCTTCATTCTTCCTTCATTCTTTGTTGCAGTCTTCTTTTCTTCTCTTTAAGCATGGAGTATTGCCACTGCCATGTTCAAAGGGCTTGGAAGTTGGATCTACTTTTTTTGACTGTTAATATATCAAGACTTAAACTCTTAAACTAGAACCTTGTTTTTTATTCAAGATGTTTTAATCATTAATAGCATTTTGTGTTTTGGTCATGAAACTAAAGACTTAAAAGAGTATTACTATGTACTAAATAATTTAGGATTATGAATGTTAAGACTTATGATGTTTGAAAGCTTCATTGGCATATATCATACTTTTTGAATTTGAAATGTGTATGCAATGTATTATATATGCTTCTAGTAATTACTTATGTATTATATTTGAAAGTAGTCTAAATAACGGTCATCCCGCTATCCGCTATACTGCTATAGCGTTTTTGGGTCTGCCCGCTCTGCTATTTGGGATTGACAACACACACACGCGCGCACACGCGCACGCGCACGCGCACGCACACACACACACAACTTCAAAAAATGATTTGAATGACAACTTTGAGCCGTTTGGGGCGCCTCCTGTCCCTCCGGCTGGACCTGATCACTTCTCTCTCTCTCTCTCTCTCTCTCTCTCTCTCTCTATATATATATATATCTATATATATATATATATATATATATATATATATATACACACACACACACACACACACGGTTTTTCTTTTTTATTTTTTATGGCGGCAAGTTTAGGCTAGATGACTTTATGGCTATGCTAGTACCTTGCAGTTTTACAGATTTTTTGCAGATAAGTTTAACTGGCTTTATGTCATTACTTTCAAAAGCAGTCATGTTTAAAGGATTTTCTAGGTTTTTCTACACCAGTAGTTTAAGTTCTAGTGTAAAAAGAAAAGCTTGCACTAGCAGTAGTGCAAATAACCTGATGTAAGAAAACCTAGAAAAGCTTCAAATATAGGTAATGACTATCTGCAATTGAAAGTGAGGACATGTACAAGTCTGTATAAAAGAACATCAATTTATATTGTGTATAATGTGTGAAAAGATGCAATTGTAGATAAAATCTGAGAAATTTAGGTAAATAGAAATTAAACTTGACAAAATTCACTGTTTTTTATCCTTTTATATTCTTTTAATAAGACTACATAAATTCTATATTTGAGAAGAAGAAAAACTCTTAACCCTATGTGAAAATTTTCTTATTTTAGATGTGTATATAGGGGATGAGTCGGGGTTGAGGAGGCAGCTGCCCCCACTGCCCCGTAGACCCCATAGTGGATACGCCCTCGGTAATAAGTTTTGTTTTGTGTAGTGAGAAAAAGTTGGACAAATAAGTTTTGTTTTGTGTAGTGAAAATTCTATAATGTTTTGGCATCTCCAATGATTAATTTATTTGAAGTTTATTTGAATGATGTGCCAGGTTGCTTTAGACATTATAATAAGATATTGTTAAGAGAATTGTTGAAAAAGAAAATTGGGTGCGAAGATTCAAATTCAGAAAATTTTAGATTGTAGAGAGAATGTATTTAGGCCAAACCCAACCCGGTAGAATAAATAAAATTGAAAAAAACAAAAAAAAAAAAAATTAGGCCCGAACCGGACCCGGACCAACCGGGCCGGTTCGCGTTTTAGGGGGCCCGAGCCCGCACTGGGAAATGACCGGTTCCGGTTGTCCCGAACCGGCTCAAAGACCGGGTACCGGGCCGGGCCCAAACAGTACCGGGCAGGTCCGGTTCTGGGCCGGGCCGCCCGGCCCGAGTCCACCCCTACTATTGTCTGCCACTTTAGATTTGATCATTTGAGTAACTCCTTCCATAAACTCCGGATCATTTGATATTTTGATTGCAACCTTTTTCAGCTCTTATTTTTTATCATACTCCATATTAATTTACTCTTTAATAATAACAAAAGATATAATAAAACAAAGATTCACGACTATAAAGGAACATAACAACATGTTGATCATGGCTTCACAATCTAACCAGTCATTTCGGTAACGCTTATCCATTTATCCCTATCAAATGGGCTATTAAGCTCAGCATGGAGGTTGAGATGCACTGAATTGATTCATACCAAAATACGATAGTATAAAATATGTACCTAAATAAATGCAGCAGCATATCAGATCTTAAGACAAATAAAAATAAAGAATTTGATTCCGCTAAAATGATCAAGTTCACTACTTCAAGAAACTAAGGAAGCTTCAGATGCCCATTCCATGAAGCCGCTGTTAATTTTCCTTCCAATAGATCTCAACCATTGTGAGCAGCCGAGGTAGATTCAAGGGGGGAGGGAGCCAACCCAAACGACTCCTACGGATGAAGCATAAGTGTATCGAACTCAATGTATGTATGAAAAATCAGTTGAGCAATGACCTCAAAACAGCTTCCGCTCGTTGCTCGAATTTAGGCAATGCCCATTCATGCTGCAATATGTCTAAATTGTCCTTCTCTGCACCCAAACTCTGAACATAAAAGAGTACAAAGATGAGAAAGACTACTAATATAGTAACAGATACTCCATTCGTCTAGAAAGATTATAAAAAGAACATGATTCAAACGTTTCATGTTCTCTCCGTCCTACAAAAACGCTCCCTTCGAACAGTAAACGCTTTGGTCAAATTTTATGCTGAGAAGAGAGAAAAATGAGAACTGCACATTTCTTTCTTTAAAAGGAAAGAGAAACATTAATTTGGGACGGGAGGCAAAAGAAACTAGGAAAGGGAGATCCTTTATTCAAGACGGTATGAGTAAACATACCTACCTTTTTCTAATAATTTTATAAAAAGTTATAAGTATGTTGAATATGATAACTTTACTTGTACGAAAAAAATAAGTTTTAAAAATGTGTACGATGGCATGACTTAAGACTTAAAAGTGTTGTACATTAACCAACAGTAGACCTGCACAAAATTGGCCCGGCCCGCCCAACCAGCCCGCACAAATGGGCGGGCTTGGACATATACATTTACCCACCGGTCTGGACCCGGCCCGCAATAACATGGGTGGGCTTGGGTTAGGGTGTAGGCCCGTTCGGGCCGATAAGCCCGACCCGCTACATTTAACACACACACACTAATTTAATATATACATGTACACATGTGTATTTATATTTATTAATTTATCTTTATACATATTTATAGTTTATTAAGTTTAAATTTAAGTTTTTAGTTCTTAACAACTAGCTCTACTAATATAGTATCTATTTTTGTACTTGAACATAATACTTTGTGCTTGAATTTTAAATTTCAGATATAGTTTCTCATTATTATTTTTGAGTAAGTATTATTTTTGTATGTGGTGAAATGCCTATAAGCATTATAAGCGTATTAATAATTTTTTAAATGTCTACTATTATCTTTAAAGTATTAAAAATATTTTATAATTTTAAAAATGTAAAGTTTTTCCGGGCCGGGCGGCCCGGTGGAGTACCCGGCCCGCTCTTACGGGCGGGTATGGACATGGGGTTACGCCCGTTTTTGCGGGCCGGGGCGGGCCTGAACCCATTTTTGTGCGGGTCTAACCAATAGAGACTCTTTGACTCTGTTTTCGAATGGAGGAGGTAATACACATGTTATAGTTGTTAAGAAGGAAATTGTGCACATTTAACTAATCTAATTCTTTTTGCAGATTTCCAGCGCTGAAGAAGAATAATAAGTACATCAGCTCAGCCAACGCATTTTTATATTAAGAAAGAAATGTAGAAAACCCCACCTTTGATGGGTCAAAACCAAATCCACTCATTTGCATCATGCGTTGGGTATCATCTGTAGCTGCAATGAGTAATTTTCAATACTAGTATAAATAAACACCAAGAATGTTAAATTTAAAATCATACCCAAGCTCCCATTATTCAATATGATATACTGTATACATACTAAACATATATAGATAACAACATATATCACAAACACAATATAACATCAACATAGACAACATTTACCATTTTCCTCTCCCAGAATGAGACTAAATAGGCCTCTCAGCCCAAAAAGGTTGAGGAAGTACCTGAAAGCATAGCAAATCTTCAGAAAATGGTACTATAGAAATATTCCCAAATGTACTAAATTTCACCAGAAGAATGAACATTTGGTGGGGGAGAGTACCAAGATCGACTGCTAACATAGCTTACGTCAACTGTACTCAAGTCAATCCCATTTTGCAACATTGACCTGAACCTTTGAGTTAATGGAAATGGTATTTTTGCTGAAAATAGCATCACCAAAGTGTTTACAAATAGACATGATATAACATAAGAAAATAAACAGTAAGAGCTAATAGTTAGTTCGGTAAGTATCATCATTTAGCAGAAATGGCTCAATTTCAATGGACTGACTTTTCAAAAGAAAAAAATGTTTGGTATGATCTGAAATAGTTGAAGTGAGGGAATTTGTAAATAGAAATGGCTGAATTGGCTCAATCTGTTGAGTTATACAAAATAAATATTTAAATTTTTAAATAAATTATAGAAAATAATACTATCTAAAATTGAACGTCGAAATGCAGCACTGCTTATATTGATGATCAGATCAGCCAGTTAAGCCAGCGCAGAGAACAAAAATTAGAGTTTGGTGCAATTCTGGCTGAAAAGGCTAAAAGGCAAAACACTGCCCACCAAACAGACACTTATCCTCATCTAACCGAGAAGGCTAATAAGCCGAAAAACGCCCCACCAAACCGGTACTTAATAGTCATTTTCAGAATAAGCTGGATAAAGCTATCAAATGAAGCCAACAAAAAACTCACTTTTCCTCATCAAGCCGGGTATTGTGCATAAACAACATAGCTCAAGAACTTAATTCCAAGGACCAACTAAAATACGAAAGGTAAGAATTGCAAACCTGCTACAAACCCTGAGAAGAAGAAGTTCACCCATGCGAAAGTAAGGGTCTGCACAAGAACATTACTACTCAAGACTACAGCCACAACGATGTAAACACCCCAAGGGAACCCACATAAAAGTGTGGCGATAAGAATGTAATACCTGAGGTATAATCATTGACAGATTTTTCTTCATCATATCCATAGCCATGTTAGGATCAGAAAGCATTTGCGCTTGTGGATTCTGAGCTTGTCCTTTAGGAACAACAAGTAACCCATTTTCCTGCACAAAAAATGTACTGGGGTAAGTCTTTTCACTATATGTTAGAAATTTATTAACTGAGTGTGTAATGGTTCTGTGTAGAGCATATAACCAGAAACTCATTTATTTAACTTGATGAATGTACAATTCTAAGAACATATATGTTAGCCATGCCATCTTTTAAACAATACAATAATAATTGGCCACTTATGCATAAGTAGAGTAGCTTCAGGGCCTGCTTATCCACTCAACACAACACCAATTTCCCATTATAACCTTTAGGTAAAATGTATCTTTATTAGTACTTAAACTTTTGCATTCTTGTCATTTTGGTGCCAAACTATGAATTCTAAAATTTGAGTTTCAAACTTCATAATTCATATCATGTTGGTCCTCTTACATTCTCCATCTATTTATCCATTACCTGTCATGTGGCATGCCACACATTGTCAGGTGGCACACCACACACACACATGACTTTGTTGTGATACTCAAATTATTCAAGTTAATTTACAATTATAATTTATAGCAACAATTATTCAATATTTTCCCACACATAACTAAAAGTTAAGTATTTGTAATCCAAAAAGTACACTAAAAATTGCCGTTAGAAATATACTTAACGGTTGTTAAAACAATAGGGGGCATTTTAACGAGTAAAGTATAGATATTCACTTTTAAAATGTTTAATTTAAACAAACTACTTTTATTACTGTAGAACATTTAACGACAAGGTACTAAGGATTACTCCGTATAATAGTCTATTTTAGCACCAGCCAGGCCAATATGTACTAAATGCTGTAATAGTATACTACACATCTTCTATTAGTTCTAACAAGAAAACAAAGGTACATACACACAGAAGGTTTACATATATATCTATTTACATATATTTACTTATATATGCTGTAATAATATAATACACATCTTCTATTAGTTCTAACAAGAAAACACCAGCTGTACATACCAAAGCTGGTTTGTACTTTTCATTGAACAGAAAGTACAATGTGGATGTTCATAATTATTAAATATATAGTTAAAGATAGATTTAATTGTAATAAATTAGTCTTTGGTTTAAATTTTCCAAAAGATCATAGCCAGAAGTGAGTTTAAAAAATCTGAGTGCATTTGCTGCTATAAATTAAATTATTTAAAAAATTTAATCCCTCTGTATTTTTCCATCATTTCCAATGGAGCCAAACTAACTATTTTTGGCTTGGGAATATCATGGAATAATTGAATAAAGCAAAATGACCCACTAAACTATCTGCGCGTCTTTGTTATAAACAAGGTTCGAAATTGCGAATTGCGTAGTCGTGGCGTTTTTTTAATATTGCATATTGCGTAAGCCTCATTGCGCAATGAGGCGTGTAGCTGAGGCGTAATATATATATATATATATATATATATATATATATATATATATATATATATATAAACATAATAAAAAATAAACATTATCATCAAAAGTCATCAAATGTTATATTAAAACAAACCATAAGAGACCAAGCAAAGTAACATGGAATACCAAAACATTCTGAATCATTTATCAAAACAAAAATCTAAGATATGAAAATTTAAATTAATTAGATTGATTGACTGCAAAAATTCAATCAATAACTACTGGTTTGAAATAGGGATCATAAGATCAATTATAAAAATTTAAAAGTGGGCCGAGTGGGCCCAAATAATACCCTTACACCCTGACCTCCTATTGCGTACGCCTCAGAGCGCCTTATTGCGTATCCAATATTGCGTACGCCTCAGTGCAATATTGCGTACATCACACTCCCAGCGCCATATGCAATGCCTTTTACGCCTTAGTCCAGAAATTAGCTGAGGCGCGCCATGAGGCGCAATTGCATTGCGCAATTACAAACAATGGTTATAAAGCAGCAGTCACTCCATGCAAATTTTGACGCGATTTTCGGGTCATCTGGAAACAATCTCTTGTGCTTTAATGCAAGGGTAAGACCGCGTACATCTGACCCCCTTACCACACGTCCACACCATTGGTGGGAGCATTTGTGCACTGCGGTAACGTTGTTGTATACTCCCTCCGTATTCTTTTGTTACTGCACTTTCTTTTCTGGATGTATTTTAATTTTTGCTACACTTTCCATTTTTGGTAAGTTAAACTTTAAAAATACTCACTTATCCTCACTTTTCTACTTTTTCATCTTCTCTTACATTCTTTTCCACTTTCTCTCCTACTTTTTCTACCTATTCATTACCCCTACTATTTTTCCCTTGAATATTGAGTCAAACCTATTGTACATGTGTACCAAACAATAGACTACAAATGGAGTATTTGTAAACCGATTTAGACTAATTAATTGTACAACAAGAGCATGTGGGATGGCATTTGTCCAATAGCATGCTAAGCACTGGCAACACGTGTCATGCCACGAGGAACTTAAGGGATAAATGGATGGAACTTTAATGAATGACCAAAATGGTATGACTTTTATGGTGAGGACCAAAATGGTAGAGATTTTAGCTTGATGACTAAAATGATATGAGGGGAATAGTTTGAGGAGGCTATGAGCAAATTTGCATTTCTCCCGAGAACTTTTAGCCATTCCCTCTACGTACTACAGTACTACCACTGTAATAACATGTCCTGTATCATTTACTTTTACTAATACAGTTCTATATGCTATTCTACTGCCGATTTGCATTCCTAATCAGACATTGATTGGGATGAAAAGTTAAAAAAAAATATACTTGCATTACTCAATGGTCAATAGTTGCATTCAAATCTATCCCCTTTCCCTGGGTCTGTTAGTCTGTTGCAGAGTATTTTATTGTATATTCATTTTCTTTGTCTTGCAGTTATACCCTCATGCTGAAAGTAAAGAAATCTGAGCATCTCAATTAAAAATTTAAAACTTAACCCTCGGCCCATCAAATACAACTCCAAGTTGAGCCCCAAAAATGACAACCTAGCTATGAACTAAATTCTCACCTTCAAGCAAATAGATGACAAAATGCAAAATTTGTTGGTAACATTATTGCTAGCATTTTAATTTATTTATACAATTCAACTCGCAATCAACTAGTAAATTTAAAAGAACTGGAGTTAAGTAGATTTCAAATGATTAAAGTTATGAACCTCATTGCTATAATAAAATCGCCTCGCTCTAAAAGACTTGGCAGGAAGAAAATTGGCATTTGCCCTCAAATTCCTAGCCCTTATTATCGCCTGCCTGCATAAGATCTTCAGATATATTAACAAATAAAAATATAATGACATAACTATATAATTACGCGCACGAGAGAGTGGGAAGATGTAAAAAACCCTTCTTTGACGATTTTAGCATCAGGTGACTGGGAAGAAGATGACTGCATGAGCTTCGATACGAAGTATCTGAGGACTCCGATGAGCACCATAACTACCGATAACGGTATAAGCACCCAATCTCTGATTGCAGTGTCCAATACCAAATCTTCCGCCATCTTTGTCTTTCTCCAAAAAGTTTGACTCCTGATATATTACGTAGTAGATCGTAAGATCCACCCTCTCAGCTCTCAAGAAGTTCCCGGTAAAAAGTAAACACTGGTTGTAAAGAGCAAGGTTAGTACTAGTTGTTTCTTTTTCGAAAAATTGTTGGTGATTTGATGCCCTTCTCTTTCCATTGGACCAAAAAATTCATCCTAGACTCTACAAATGTTTTGAAAAAAAATATAAATTAATACTTTCTCCGTCCCACACACAAATTCTCACTTTTCTTATTTGTATGTCTCAAAATAAACTTCTCACTTTTTTATTTGGCAAATTAATCAACATCAAACAGTGTCAAACAATGCAAAACAGTGTCAAAACAGTAAAATTTACCCCTCAATAACTTTATTTCCTTAAAATGTGTGAAAGTCAACTTGGGAACTTGTTTCCGAAACGGAGGTAGTATTATCTCTGTCACATTTTATGTGTGCGCTTTGATTTTGACACAAGCTTTGATAGAGTAGTTGAAAAAGTAAAATT